ACCGAATCTTACAAAAATGTTGCATGTGCATCAAGTCAGCCGCAGTGACTCAGTGAGTAAGATGCTGGCATGCGAGCCTGGATATTCAGAGTTTGATGGCTGTGTTGACATAGAAATGAAATGAAATGGGGTTTTAAGTTCTACTATTCTGCTCCTCAGCTGGGCTAATGAAGACGGGCATACGCCATACCGTGTGCGATGAGGAAAATTTTGCCCGGGCAGCGGCACTACGACCTACTCTTATATCGAATTCCAACTGCCAAGGGATCTTTTACGTGCACGCCAATGTGTACACGGGACCTCGGTTTTTCGTCCCATCCGCTCGACTAGACACCTGTCCTTGTCAAGCCCTCCGTCCTGCATCACTGACAAGGGGAAACCACGCCGGACAGAGGGGATGGACTGGGACAGCATATAAAAACGAGTTCCCGTGTACACATTGACATGCACTAAATGAATCCTTATGACAGTTGAAGATCACCGAGGAAGAACGATCTTAGTCAGTTTTTCAACGAACCCCAGTTAATGGTGCCATCTGGTAGCAAATTGTATAAGCTTTCTGTGGAACAATCTATTTCAGGGAAAATCGATCGGAGTCACATCGAACCAAGGCCCTTCTGAAATGGTCTCCCGGGCATTTAACCTATATTTGGCTGAAAAGTTGAGAAGTCAGTTGTACTGGTAATTATGATTCTTATTAAACATCTTTTTGAAGTTGTAATTTAACCCACTCGTTGTTCTGTTCGCGTCAAACATTCTCGTCCAAAAGTCTATTTTGCCTTTTATGCGTAAAGACAAAAATGTGACTTGGATCATTCTTCCCCTGGACTCTTCAGTTGGAATTCGATATAAGAGTTGGTCTTAGCTCTGCTAGGTGACAATGTATGGCGTATGTCCCATCTTGATTAGCCCATCGGTGCAGAACAGTAGGACGTTAAATCCCATTTCATTTCCTCGCTTGAGTCATCCTGTTTTTGAGTAAAATATTTTTATGGTTTTCTCTACTATTAAATACACAAAACCCATAAAACGCTACTGCCAAAACTTCACATGTATATGATCAAGAGAAATGGGGTTTAACGTCCACTCGACACAAACTAGGTCATTTCGGGACTAACATATGGTTTAATTTTATTTCAATAATTCGCTTGCGCGTAGGGTTTTTTAGCAGTGCGAGGAAACCGGAGGACCCGGAGAAAGATATAGTCAAAACAAGCCATCGCCACAAATAATGTTCGTTGTAATCTTTGGATGGGTCTCTTTTAATTGATTTTAATTTCGTTTTATTAATTAAATGTTGAATAATCAATATGAATAAATAATCAATCAATATGAATAAATAATCAATCAATATGAATAAATGTTACATAATCAATAAAAATACATATTATCCGAAAAATTCAAATGACGATTAGCGACCTCCGGTTCGAGCAATCCCAGAAAGTTTCTAATTATTTTAATTGCCCTCTACTCAGGCTAGATTAATACATGTGGATGGACAGACAAAAGCACAAACAGGAAATTAACAAAAACACTAACCCTTCATTTGAACTTTTCTTTCGTGCTGCACGAACCTGTTTAGTCAACTGCCTACGGTGATATTAAATCTAAAGAAAGCAACACCTGAGTTTTAAGCATTCTAAGATGTCGTGATACCTGTTGTGTTGATTCTAATGCATACAGATAATGATATGTAAAGTCGATAAAGATCGATAGGTAACCAGCTTGTCTTTGCTATGATCATTAAAAAGCATGTGATGGGATGGCCTACACTGTAACAAAAACAAAAATCCGCGAAAAAACGTAAAAAAAATCCGGAAACAAAAATTACCAGGAAAATTTTATCCGTATTTGTTTTTCCTGTAATTTATAGAAATTCCTTCAATTAACATAAATTCCATTTTATTTAACGCCCGCTTACACCGAAGTGATATCGCAGAAAATCTTTATACGCAACCTCTTTCCGCTAATATAAGACTACGGAACATCCTAATCGAAAGAAGAGCGCAAGGTATCACAAACCGCTACTCGTCAGTGAATGGACCAGTTAGAGGCTGTCAGATGTAAGATTACGGTACTATCAATTTGTAGGTATGTTAACTCTGTCATAGAGACGAACCGGCTTACACCCAATCGGTTATACTATCCGGATTTAAGCATGCTTGATTACCTATCCACATGGATGTTGTTGTTGTTCTTAGTGTTTAACGTCCGCTTTCACCGAAGGTGATATCGCAGACAATTTGTTTTTCATGAACTTAGCGCACGCGCAGGGGTCTTTGCTGTGGGAGGAAACCGGAGTACCCGGAGTAAACCCACGAGGTTGAGAAGGCCCCCCTATCTCCAAGACACATACGCTCACACCAGGGAGCCCTGCAACATATTTTTATACATTTATGAAAATACTTACAATCTGATCACCGTATGATGAATAACAATGCACTTTGTACATCTTATAAATAATGAAAATTAGATATACATGACATGTAATATACCAAATTTTACAAACTATGATTATTCATATTATGGTTAATGAATTGAAATGAATACTATAACATGATAATTATTAGGAATGGTTATACATGTATATGTATACGATTACTTATTGTTGCATTTGCCAGCAGAAATAATCAGCAAATTCCTGGTCATTCCATAGTTTATCCCGTAAAATAACAGAATTAAGTCCATTCTAAAATGGAATAAAACATTCTATCACATTTCTGGCCATCCCACCGTTTATTCCGTAAAATAACAGAATTAAGTCCATTATAGAAGGGAATCAAATATTTTATCCCCAAATTTCCTGTTTAATACTTAATATTTCATAGAAATACATAAAACACGTAATTTGAAGAAATAACTCACACTTTTAACACAATTTCTCAACAAAAAAAAAAAAAGCCATCGATTAACAGAAAAAAAGTGTTAAACTACGGAATTCGGCCACATAACAAATGGATATTTTTTACAGTGTAGTGGTCGATATTATCGCGTTTCGGGTTCTAGCTTGTCGGTCACCTATGGCATGCTGTCGTGGTTTCGATCACTGTTGTGAGAGTATTTGGCTTGGAGATGGGAGCGCCTTCACGGTTGTGAAGGCCGCGATTAACAAGCTAATTGAATTTTTGGAGGGAATGTCCAAATCTTCAATATCACTGGTCGCAAGTAGATTTCACACGAGTCGCCATTTTGACTGTGTCCTCAATCTCTAATACTGGTCTGCAATGCCGATGGCAACGTAAGTGCAGTTACGATCCCTAACATCAGTTTTAATAGTTTACGATAGTTTTTGTCGTGTCGAAGCCAGTCGTCATAGAAATACGCCCAAAATCGTTGTCAAATTTTCGTTTGACGTGTAACTTCTCTAAACCAGCTGTTCTTCTTTCTGGGGGCTACGTTCTTCGAAATGCGCCAATGGCTCCACCAATTCAAGTACGATCGACATGATAGGACGCCGCAACCATTTTATGGTGGTGTTCATGACGCCATATCCGGTTACTGGTCCATTTAATACTATCTTCCTTGTTTAAACATACATTATGACGTCACATTAATAATGATGTCATTATGCAAGAGCTAAATCTGCCTATTGCAGGTCTTTCTTTAGGCCTTAAATGTTATCTAAATTATTAATTAGGGCATTAATTAACCTATCCAGACCATAATCAACGCTCGATGCCATCGTTAGCCTATGATATTTAGTGGATTTGAATACACTTAGTGACGGATAATTTAACCTAATAATATATAATCGAGACTTTGTTCATTATCACACCAATGTTAGTAATGCCGATCAAGGCTAGCCTAAAATTGAATCGCTAATATCTCGGTTCAGAATGATGCAACTTGACTGACATTCTCAGCATTCTGGTTTTTATTTTCTTTTTTTTTTGTAACTATTATAGCTCTTGACCTGGTCTTACCTTATGCCCCTTTAAAGGTGTGATTATAATATTTAAGGGTGTGATTATAATATTTAAGGGTGTGATTATAATATTTGTTTTTTCTATCGGCTATATCGCGTCTTATATACACGTTGTACAGAAAGTTTATTATCCCTTCAATGTGTTTTTTGTTCATATTGTCAACGTGTTGTTTCATATATATATATATATATATATATATATATATATATATATATTATATTGTCTTGTTTTGCTGTCGCAGGGTAATTTGAGATGAACAGACACAAACTAGGTCATTTCGGGACTAACATATGGTTTAAATTTATTTCAATAAAATAGCAGCGGGATGAAACCGGAGGACCCGGAGAAAACACACGAGGTTGGACAGGCCACACTACTCCTTGTCACGTACAATCACGCCAGTTGTCTTAATAACAGGCCTTATTATACACCGCGCACGTGCTAACAATTCGGCTATCTACCCCCCCCCCCCCCGTTTGGCGAATACCCGTCTTCATTAGCCCAGTCGGAGCAGAACAGTAGGACGTTAAAACCCATTTCATTTTATCTCAGTTGAAACAGAATGCTTATTTTACATGACCAAAAATGCAGCTTAGAAATACAGGATCTGTAATTGTAAAAGGGTTAAAATGAGGGTCCATCTGGCCAGCAATAGTAAGAAGACGGACCCTAGTAACGTCTTAGCGGCTATAATAATATGACCTTAACGTCATTTTTTTTAATATCCGCATGGTCACGATAAATCATGATGAATGTCGGTTTTTACGATATGGTATGTAAATAATATATCAATTATTTTTTTATGTATATAAATATGGTGATATGAGGGTTGTATACTTAATGGGATATAAACAAACATTTTTTATATATATGAAGAAGGTGTTGTATTGGTTATATACGATGTTGTAATGTTAATTGATAACATTCTGATCTTCTGTCAGTAAATAAGGAGATATAAAAAAACAACAAAAACAAACAAACAAACAAGATCTATTGAACTTGGTTTAATTGTAAACAAATGTTTGGAGACTGTATAAATACAAGAATTGTTCACTCGACTTTATTCAACGTTGGATCACTTCAACGAAATCTATCTCAAGTAAGTTTAACTTTATAGTATTTTACAATTACTCCATGGAATTTATCAAGTTATATTTTATGGAAGGGTATCGCTGCCAATATTAAATTCTCTGCTAAAATGTCTTTTCCGTTGATTATATGTAAAAAGTACAATGTATACCGGTAATGATAAGGTTGACATTTTAAACATTGCATTTCACGTTTTACATTTAACTTTGCCCCTCGAGGTATTTTGACTTTATCATTACCGGTTTTAGGACTTTGTACATTTTAAATATAATCAATCGAAAAGACATTTTAGCAGAGCATTTAATATTGGCAGCGATACTCTTCCATAATATTTTAGCTATAGTTACAGTAATATATAGTGTATATCGAACAGAATGTATTAAATAACTATATTCATATCACAACTACTGGAGAAGTGATATCAGGTGTTCTGCACATAGTAACCATACTCCAGATATTTCGATGTTAACATGATCAGCATACCACCAAAATTAAATGATGAGTAAAATAGTAAAATACCACTAGGTGGCGCGGGGGGGGGGGTGTCGAATGGTCACTTGCCCAACCTCGTAGGTTTTCTCCGGGTCCTCCGGTTTCCTCCCACTGCTAAAGACCCCTACGCGCAAGCGAATTATTGAAATAGAAATTGAACCATATGTTGGACCCGAAATGACCTATTTTGTGTAGAGTGGAGGTTTAACCCCATCTCGCTCTCTCTTTCACTAACCAGGTGCTCTGAAGTTCGACCCAAGGGTTGGACTCGAAAGTTCCCCCAAATTTTCCAGCATGGTTTCCTCTTGTCAGGATGTAGAGGCGTGCATTATTGGAATTCCATGTAAGAGTAGGCAATCGCGTCGGTGTCCGGTCAGAATCCCCCCCACCCTCATATCACACGTAAGCCAGTCTTCATTAGCCCAATCGATGAAGAAATTTCGGACGTTAAACCCTATTTCATTTCATTTCTTTAGGTCTCACAATGGCAGTTAATACAACATTTTATTTCAGATATTGAAAAATGGCTTCAGTCTTCAATATTATTACCGTATTCCTTGTTCTGACTCTTGCTTGCGTCATCCAAGGTCAAGGTTGGTTATTTTAGTTCATTTATCAAAGATTTTGTATCAATATTTTCGGTGATTAGTATGGATATCTATAATATATCTATAACATGTCTATATCTATAATACATCTATACCATATCTATACCATATCTATACCATATCTATACCATATCTATATCATATCTATAACATATCTATAACATATCTATACCATATCTATACCATATCTATACCATATCTATATCATATCTATATCATATCTATACCATATCTATACCATATCTATACCTATACTATACCATGTCTATACCATATCTATGACATACCTATAACATATCTATACCATATCTATAATATATCTATACCATGTCTATATCTATACCATATCTATAATATATCTATACCATATCTATAACATATCTATACCATATCTATACCATATCTATAATATATCTATACCATGTCTATACCATATCTATACCATATCTATAATATAGCTATACCATGTCTATAACATATCTATACCATATCTATAACATAACTATAACATATCTATAACATATCTATAACATATCTATAATATATCTATACCATGTCTATAACATACCTATAACATATCTATAACATATCTATAACATATCTGTATCTTTAGCAGATCTTTCCTTGTCGCTACTAACAAAATAAAACTGTGTAATCATAGTAATCACGAACCCAGTCAGATGCAAGATTAATTTCGTTATCACCGTGTGTCTTGACTAACCCGAAATGATGATCTGGCGTGATACGCCATGTAATAGTCGAGTATCAATAAAGTCCTCACATTTATTTTAATTCATATTAAACAAACTTTATATTGCAGTTTTAATAATTATTTTGGTTAGGCTTGATTCAGCTAGGAGCCATGGCGGTTTAGGCTTGATTCAGCTGCGAGCCATGGTGGTTTAAGCTTGATTCAGCTGAGAGACATGGTGGTTTAGGCTGGATTCAGCTGGGAGCCATGGTGGTTTAGGGAAGAAGTCGCTGGCTCACTAAACATTGGATCTCGCGTTCGCTCCCTATAACAAACCCCTTTTATGCAGCAAAGAAAGACATTTAGTTGTTCAGATGGGACAAACATAGTGTTACTTGGTACTCTATGTCGAGTACGTAGAATAACCCTTGACTTCACTAAGTCAATAATGTACATACATTACGTAAATTTCTGTTTGACAATAATATATGTAAAAATAGCATATCGGCATTTCCTTCTTTTTTAAAATTGCATTTGTTCGAATCACCTTTTTAAACGTACAGACACAAATTTACTGTACATAGACAGGTGCTCTAAATTTGAAGGTGGTCTGTTAATGACCCCTCACCCACCTCCCCCCTCGCCACTCCCCGCGTTATTATCAACATTGATAAAACAAAGACGTCAGACTTATCAAAATAAGAACTTGGTTTTAGTCACTGATTCATGCCACCTCGTCTACAATACATAATTAAAATGTCCATATCATGTCAATTCCTCGAAGTATTTACCATATTAAACTAAGAGTAGGTTGTAAGTGGAGTCTTAACGTTCATTTACGGAAGTTGTCGACTGTGTTGGCATGCACTTAAAGGAAACACTGCCGTCTGTATTAGCACGGTTGGTGAAGACAATCAGGTCTTTAAACCTATTTTTAAGTCATTCCATATATGATTCGTCCGCTGATAAAGTTTCCATGTATGCATGTATTGAGGGTATCTTAAATTCAATTACGGAAAATGTCGACTATGTGATCTTTAACTTCTAAACTTTTATGTTTTGTAGGTTTAAGGTTTTATGGAGACGATGATAGATTCGATGATCTGTATGATGACCTGTATGATAGATTCGATGATTTGTATGACGATGATCTGTACGATGACCTGTATGATGACTTAGACGACTTTTATGAATTTGACGATGATAACTTCTATGGCAGAGATCCATTTGGTTTCAATCCACGTTTTGGTTTGGGCTACCATAATTTCCGTTTTGGTGGCAGGAATTTTGGTTTTGGAAAATAGTTTATTAAATTTTTGACTGTGATATAAGTTGATATACCATGTATAATATGTTAACTGTGATATAAGTTGATATATCATGTCTGTATAACATGTTAACTATGATATATAAGTTGATATATCATATATGTCTAATATTTTACCTGGAATTCTTATATCATGTATTGACAGTTTGAGATAAGAGTTCAGAAATTTATTTTTTTCCTTTACCATATACAAAATAAATATGTATCTAATTGAATATATACTAATGTATGTGTCCATCACGAATTATGTTTATTTCACTAAGTCAATAATGTACATACATTATGTAAATTTCTGTTTGATAATAATATAGGTAAAAATACCATAACGGCATTTCCTTCATTTTTAAAATTGCATTTGTTCGAATCACCTTTTTAAACGTACAGAAACAAATTTACTGTACATATGATAGGTACTCTTAATTTGAAGGTCGTCTGTTAATGACACCTCCCCCCTCGCCACCCCCCGCGTTATTATCAACATTGATAAAACGAAGACGTGGGACTTATAAAAATTTGAGCTTGATTTTAGTTACTGATTCATTCCACCTCGTCTACAATACATAATTAAAACTTCCATATCATGTCAATTCCTCGAAGTATTTACCATATTAAACTACTTTTAGAGAGAATTGTTGACGGACAGACCGATGAACAGGGTGATGACTATATACGATCAAACTAGATGTGGGCGTATCAAAGTCTGTTAAAATCTGTACATGTTTCGAAAAAAGGTGAATCATTCATGTTGAAAACAGCATATTCTATTGCGCTCAAACTGTTTTCGACGGAACGGAAGAGAACATAAAAAGCAAGCGGGCGAAATGCAGATAATCCATAGCGTTCGTCCCTGACAATGTCGAAACACCCGAGAGCAATAACATTTAAGAGTCATTCCATGAGAAAACCATGCAGAATCGGGAAGATGGGGGGTCGGCAGATCGAGTTCATCTCCGGGGGATTTTATGGACTCCCCCTGACTACTTCACAGCCAGAAGGGCCAATGTCAAAATTTCACCGTTATTGAGAAACAGCCTCTGGGTGATTTTTGGCCAATTTTGCCATTTTTCAGGTCATTTTTGGTCAATTTTCAGCCACCTATTGTGGCGAGTCTAGGGTTTGAATGGAAATGGTGGTGACTGGTGATGTTAGTGGGGGTCTTCCTGTGCCCCAGTGTGAAGACCATGAAGTCGCGTCTATTCTCTGGGAGCAAGGATCAGCAAAATTGTAAGATATGGTGAATAAAACCGAAAATATACACCTGTGAAGATTAGCTCTATTTTCTATGATGCAGGGGTAGGTCAAAATATCGAAAAGGTTTTATGCACAGCTCGACTCCCTCTATCGATATAAGAAATAAAATCTCTGTCACCTCTCTTCAATCAAAGCGAAATCACAAGTCAAAGTTGGTGAATTTTCCCTATTGTAAATCTCTCATTCTCTATGAAATGGCCAACTACTTTCATTCAGGGTAGCCAGCTATCTTCGTTTCTTCACCAAATCATTCGCCCGCGCTCACTGGTAGCAGCTTGAAACCCCCTCGAGCAAAACTAGTCTCTTTGATGAGGCTTGATATCCAATCCATGATGGCCGTGCCCGAAAGCTCGCAAAATTGCGGTTTTTCCTCATGTTTGGCCATTAAATGTGGTATATATCCCAGATATGACCAAAAGAATCACTTCATACGATTGAAAAAAATGTACTAAGGACATTAAGGCCCACCTTTTAGCACATCACATAGCAATAAGTGATGTGTGAACCGAATGGGAGCTGATTTCTTGGCGAAGATGCATTCAATGGAACATTCCAAACGGATGCATGCTGCCACATCTAAGGAGAAGCCACACAAAGACCCCGTTATGTCAACTTATACCTATTGGAACGGCCAAGTGAAATAAAATACTATTGAAAAAAAAGAGGGAAGAAATTGTGTCTTTGAAATATCGGTGGAAACCCTGTGTGTGTGCTCGACCACAATCAAATTAACAGAAAACAGTTGTACGGTGATACTCCATTTGACTGAGTTAAGCGATGGGCTTCAGAAGTCCTCAAACCAGCTGCATTGAGTCTGATATAGCTGTAATACCTTTACTAAAGGCCAGCTATCTGCTTCTTTTTCTTTTAACTTTGGCAGCATTAAAAAAATTTTATTAATTTTAGAATTTTTTCTTCTATTTTATGTATGCCGGAAATATTATGCTGCCCATAATGAGGAAATGGGCTGTCATGAGAGCCAAGTTCCTACACTGCCTCAGGGTAGTTCCTCAAATAAAAAAAATATGGCATAGGGTCAAAAATTCAACTTCATCATATGATCATTTTCGGAGCCCAAAATGGATCTTGCTGGGCCTTTTAAAACTGAATGTGTACATGAAGGACATTTCTATCAGGGGCCACCTCTCAACATATTCCAATCTGATTAAAATACAGATCTATATTTCGTTTCGTTTTTTTTATACTTTCAATGACCTACACTACATGAAGATCTGACTGGTTGTATTGATAGGTAACTTCAGAGGTCATACGAGCGGCAGTTGAGCCTATGACCGTTTCATCGGCTAATACCTCAAAGAATTCAGAACACGTCAATGATAACAACTCTTTCAGATCCTAGTGTAGTAAAGACAAGTAAAATGAAATTTTGAACCATAAAAACGAAACGAAATAGGATCTGTGTTTTAATCAGATTGGAATATGTTGAGAGGTGGCCCCTGATAGAAATGTCCTTCATGTACACATTCAGTTTTAAAAGGCCCAGCAAGATCCATTTTGGGACAGCTGTCTAGTCCTTCGGATGAGACGAAAAACCGAGGTCCCGTGTATATATTGGAATGCACGTAAAAGATCCCCTGGCAGTTGGAATTCGATATAAGAGTAGGCGATAGTGCCGCTGCCCGGGCAAAATTTCCCTCATAGCACACTGTATGGCGTATGCCCGTCTTCATTAGCCCAGTATAGGAGCAGAAAAGTAGGACGTTAAACCCCATTTCATTTCATTTCATTTCATTTCCTTGTCAGTGGTGCAGAACGGATGCCCTGACAAGGACAGCTGTGTAGTCGTTCGGATGGGTGAAACACCGAGGTCCCGTCTATACATTGGCATGCACGTGAAAGATTCCTTGGCAGTTGTCGATATAAGAGTATGCCCGTCTTCATTAGCCCAGTCGGGGGGTTGGATGGCCGAATGGTTAGCACGTGCGTGCTGTATCATACGGCCTGTCATTGAGTCAACTGGTGTGGTTTCGAATCCTCGGTTGTGCGTGACCAGGGGTAGGGTCGCCTGTCCAACCTCGTGGATTTTCTCCGGGTACTCCGGTTACCTCCCACTGCTAAAGACCCCTACGCGCAAGCTAATTATTGAAATAAAATTAAACCATATGTTAGTCCCGAAATGACCTAGTTTGTGTCGAGTGGACGTTAAACCCCATTTCTCTCTCTCTATCTCACTAGCCCAGTCGGAGCAGAAAAGTAGGACGTTAAACCCCATTTCATTCCATCTCGTATTACATCAGGTTGATGATTGCTGTGAATTATAAAGTAGATGTGACACTGTTCTTCAATAACTGTTCTGTCATCGATTTGTTCCCGGATGTTAGTACCTTAAACAGAAACAAAACGAACAAAGCAGCAAGAACAGAAGAAATGAACTTTTAAAACACAAAAAAATCAAATGCATTAATAAATAAATGCACTAAACATACATTTTTCCAGAGATAGATCGGCCTATTGCAAGTATTTCTTTGGCCCTGAAATGTTATATAAAGACATTTTATTAAAATCAACTCTCGATGCCGTCTTATGTGTGGGATTTCCACTGGATTTGAATCCGATTTGCTGCTCAACGCTCATTGATGATTTAATCCAAAAATGGATAATCGAGACTATGTTTTTTTTTATATATCTTACCGACTTTAGTATTGATGATCGAGGCTAGGCCTAAAATTCAAACGGTAATATCTCAGTTCAGAGTGAAGCAATTTGACTGAAATCTTCAGCGTAATTCCGATACATTATCTAGTTCTTTTTTCACTATTATAATGCCCCTTTAATCCAATAAGGTACTTATACACTGAACGTTGTTTAATGAAATATCATATATAAACAAAATAAATCTAATAGGTAATACTTTCTTGTTCTAATTGTTGTACGTGACAAGGAGTAGGGTCGCCTGTCCAACCTCGTGGGTATTCTCCGGTTCCTCCGGTTTTCTCCCACTGCTAAAGACCCCTACGCACAAGCGAATTATTGAAATAAAATTAAACCATAAGGTCTGTCATTGAGTCAACTAGTGTGGTTTCGAATCCCCGGTTGTACGGGACAAGGAGTAGGGTCGCCTGTCCAACCTCGTGGGTATTCTCCGGGTCCTCCGGTTTTCTCCCACTGCTAAAGACCCCTACGCACAAGCGAATTATTGAAATAAAATTAAACCATAAGGTCTGTCATTGAGTCAACTAGTGTGGTTTCGAATCGCGGGTTGTACGGGACAAGGAGTAGGGTCACCTGTCTAACCTCGTGGGTTTTCACCTGGTCCTCCGAATTATTGAAATAAAATTAAACCATATGTTAGTCCCGAAATGACCTAGTTCGTGGACCGCATTTCTCTCTCTCTCTCTCTCTCTCTCTCTCTCTTTAATTGTTAAAACAGTGTTTAGTTTATTGCAATACGTTTTATAGGTTGTTTATATCCTTTTTATCTTATAATTTAAATGTAATAAATTTATTTTACAAATTTCAGCATCATCAGATATAACGTGATTATTTTTATACATGATTAAAATATGATTGTTATTGTTATATACAAAACATTTATACCAATTTGATCATATTGGTTTATATTGGAAACAAAATTACTAAATCATTATTCAACAGAATATTTGATAAATATACATTTTAAAACAATATTCTTTCTTTTCTGAAAAAACAATAAGGGAGCCATGGTGGCTGGGTGGTTAAGATAGTGGCTCGCTAGTCTGGAGGTCGGGTGTTCGATCCGTGTATTGGCCGAGA